TTCGGCGAAGATTAAAAATCTTCTACGTCACCCCATTCAAGTGAATGGGCGAAGCGTTGAAAGCATTTTTCGATGCCTGTAGTGTAGACGGGCCGTAAGTGCGTTCGACCAACAAGATATAAACTTGAAGAAAACAGAATCATATAAGTACATCATTACAAACATTTCAAGTGCTGCTCAACTGGCTTTAGATAAGCCAGCCCTTTATTAGTATATAAGTGCTTTGTTAGTAATTCTATCTCTGGAAGTGGAGTCCAAAGAGATGAGTTTTCAGTCTGAAGAAGATGTGTAAGCTTTCTGCTGTCCTGATTTCAATGGGGAGCTCATTCCACCATTTTGGAGCCAGGATAGCAAACCCACGTGTTTCTGCTGATGGGAACTTGGGTCCTCCTCGCAGTGCGGGTGCAGCGAGCTGTTTGGCTGATGCAGAGCGGAGTGCACGTGCTGGGGTGTACGGTCCTGGATGTAGGAAGGGCCAGATCCATTCACAGCATGGTACGCAAGTACCAGAGTCTTGAAGTGGATTCTAGCAGTTACTGGACGCCAGTGAAGGGAGCGGAGGAGCGGTGTGGTGTGGGAACATTTAGGAAGGTTTGGATGAGCTATTGTCATTTGCACATTAGCTACAGTGTAGATATGTCAATGAAAATCCTCGAACAGTGCAACATATATATTATAGGACATCGAACAAATAAAACAGATAAAATAGTGCAAGTAAATACAAATAAAATAGAAGGTTAGTTTGTGTTATTCTGTGACTTTGGTGTCCTCCGCAGGGTAAAGGGCGCAGTCTGTACCTGCAGAGACGAGGAAACATCCGACCCGAGGAGAAGTTTGACTTTCCTCTGCTCTCGTCCTGGGAGTACGGCTGGAGGCTGGGTGAGTTCAAGAGGACATATCCTGCTGAGGTTCAGCTGTATATCAGTATGTAGTGTCTGATACAGTATGACTTGAGCCTTTGCAGTCCATTTACATGCACAAACGCCTTTATAGCACAATACAGGAACGGGAAAGCCCCGAAAAGCATGTGCTCAATGGAATCAAATGACCTTCAAAGTAAGATAAGATAAGATGGAGCTTTATTAATCCACGTGGGGAAATTCAGTAGTTGTTATTCTGACAGTTTGACCACCACGAAAATGTGCTCCAAACCCTGGCACACTTTCCGGGAATTTGCTTATTCCTCAGAAGGAGAGTTGAAGAGAAATGCATGTAAAGATATTGTTCAATGAAAAACATTTAAAAAACATATTAATGCTACAGATTCAAAACTATTCTGTCACATTTTGGATGAAACTGTCCAAATCTAAGTTTATATCTGTGTTTATTTGAATTGAAACCAATATACATTAAACTTAGGAACACATATTAGGATAAGATAAAATGGAGCTTTATTAATCCCTGTGGGGAAATTCAGGAGTTTAAACAGCAACACGGTAAGAATGAAAAACATATGGCAGTGTTTGTATCGACCAGTCACCAAATGTTCTCTGTTTCATCTTATATTCCCTCCACATTAACGCTGTCTGACTTCCTGCAGGCGACTACACTCTGGATTACAAAACTCCATCCCGCGCCAAATCCTCCGTGGTGAAGAGCACCTTCTACGCCAGGAACGGTGTGTTCAGCAGCCCGTCAGCCAGCGACTCACTGGGCTGAAGTTCAGCCTCCTGACACCAGGGGGCGCTCTTTAATGAGAGAGGACATGCTTTTATGTTATAAACCCCATGTTCCCACAGTTCATATCATTTTGTGATTTTGGAGTATTGTTAACCATTTCAAGATCATGGCATGTTCTTCGGGGCTAAATTGCATGTTATCTGTGAGAACCGACCTTCCGTTAAGTCCCGCCCCTCGAATGCAGACTGGCCAATCATAACGCTGCATTAGTCAGCTCCGAGGGTCCGACAACTACATTTTCCTATTACTATTTACTTTGAGGCTTGTTTTGTGGATTTTAAGTTAGTTGAAATACAAATGTTGAGGTCAAACATAACGTAAAAGTGTTACTTGATACCCAGAAAGGTTTTTTTTGACTTTTAATACCTAAAAACTTCTGGGGCAAACGTTAGCGGAGTATGTTGGCACATTATTATCTAACGTTAGCACCTTTATGCTATGCTAGCTAGTGAATGTATAAACGTGCTGTATATGCTTTTGAATGACTGAAAAGGTCAACAAAGACCAACCCTGCTTTACAGATCCGATCGTTAACTGTCGTTTTGCACAGTATTGTTTTGGGATATTTAAAGTACGGTTTCATAAAATGAATATAAAGAATGAATGTCAGAAAAATCCTGATTTTAACTAAAATAACTATAGAATTAATGAACTAGGCTTTTTGAGTTACAGTATATTACAATTGTACTAACATTCAAGAGTTATTTTGTTTGTTTTACCAAGCTTTTTAAACTTCATATGATTATTTATTTGATGTATGATTGATACGATTCAAAAACACTACTGTTAACAACTTAACAATTACATATCCTTGTGGTAGAGACGATCCTCTACTTCCTGTTTCTGTGTTTGTGTTCGACCACACGGCTGTAAGGTTAAACGTCCTCTCACCTGATCCTGTGTGATGGATAATTAACGAGCTGCTGGCCTCGAATCAGTCAGAGAGAAGAACACCTGACCCCTCTGAGTTTTTAATTAGTGAGCCATTGGAGGAAATGCTACACACCAAAACAATAAATATTTTATCACTGATCTGTAGTATCCTCGTTACGCTTCTGCCTGTTTGATTTATTTACTAAATAAAATGTTTATTTTACTTTTTAACCACATATTGTTCTAATGCAGGACAAGGCTCTGCAAATATAAAGCTTGTGTTCAGGTCTTTAAAACGTTCTTATATGTGATATTATTATAACATTTATTTATAGAATAGTAAACCAAATTCTAAAAAGTACAATTTAATGGACCTTTCTCCTTAGAAATTAATACACACCAAAATATAGGCCAACTGTAACCCCTTAAATCATGAAAATGTACGATGAATGTAGGAAATGATGGAAGATTTTACCTTTAGCTACAGTATGAGAAACAACAACAACGCACATCATTTGTAGTTCAGTGCTAAAACACACACAGAAAAACGTTCTTGAAAGCAACAGTACCTTTATTAATTCTGCTGATCTTTGCACACATTTCATGTAATAGCTGTAAATGTCCTCGATTAGAAGTTTGTTATTTTATAAATGTTGTGGCTCAGATGCCGGTGGGGGAGATCAGGAATCCGGTGAAGGTGTGGCTGGTGCTGTCCATCTTCGTCACCAAGCTGTTGAACCTGGTCGCCTGCAGAGACACGGTGTCTCCGACCTCCAGGTCCAGCACCGCAGAGCCGGAGGTCACCAGGAAACCCTCGGACGTGTCGCACAGCGTCATGTGATCCTCGCTGTTCTTCATCATTTTCACACACACCTACAAGTGATCACACAAATGGTGGAAGAAAAAACAAAGCCTTCTTATATACATTTTCTTAAGTTAAATTGGGTGGATAGTTTCTGATAGGGCCGTGGGCGTAAAGCCAGCCCATATTTTTTATATTACTTCATATCGGACGCAAATCTGGATCAGCTCCGTTGTTCCCCGTTTTTAGAGATTTGGGTACGGAGGAAAAGAAGGTTTTATTTTCTGACGCTGTGAATTCCCTGACACACCGGGGAAACATCTTTATATAAAAGACATCATAAAGTGCATTTTGCATTATAGGAGACCTTTAAAGTGTGCAACAATGGGTGGATAAAGATGGCTCCTTAAGATGACACAGATGTTTCAAGGATGTCAGGACCTTAAATCGATTTTAAGCGATTTTAATATCTATATAAAATAGAGTTGGACCAAGTACTCAAAACATTGCAGAAATAGAGCCACGGTAGGACCTAAACCTAAAATATTGGCAGCCATAATATAGTGGATTGAAAGTATAAAAAGTAGTATTGAACAAGAAAAAGTACGACAACTTTAAAATGTAAGTGTTTTTCACTTTCGTAGCTCTTGAGGACAAAATGAAATCAAAAGAACTCACTCTGCTCTTTGCTGAAAAGTGATAACTGAAGAAATAGATTCCTTTGATGGCGCATGTGAACGTCCCGTTGTTCAATTCCTCTCCACGAAACTGCTCATCCAGCTCAGGCAAAATCTGGCTGTGGGAAGAGTTTAACATACTGTTACATTTTCCTATCAAGGATTGTACCTCTCTTTGCGTCCTTTACACATTTATTTAAATGCTACTTTAGTTAAAAAGATGGCCTTTAAGCGAATAAAAAACTATTAATCACAGTCTGCCTCATAAACTTGTTTCACTATAATTATATTACATAACATTTATTTCCCTGAATGTAAACGTTAGCAGCACTGACCGGTTGAAGTCGATGGTATTGTCGAGTTCTGGAGTTTGAGATATCACCCGTTTGTAGGAGAAGAAAGATATCTGCTGGTTGGAAGGGTTGAAGGGTCTTCCTTTCTGCCCGTGTCGGCCTGGGTTTCCGGGATGTCCAGGAAGACCCCCGTCCCCCTTCAGGCCAGGGCGTCCTGGGGGGCCCCCGAGACCCAGGAACCCCTTCTGGCCCCTGATAGGCTGTCCTGCCTCACCTGATCATCCAGAGAAACGTAGGTCAAATATCAAGGCTTTATTCAGTCAAAATACTTATGTGTTTTTTTTAGAAACATTTGGAAATGAAAATGTGGATTAAAAAAAATAAAATATTGAAAGATATTCTTAATTTTTTACAGAAAACTTTAATTTACTGATAAGTCATTTGTTTAAATCTCTCCCAAATTGCGACTTAAATATAAAGTTTCTTTGTTAAATTTTAAAACAATGAGTGAAAATATACCAGCTCAGTAAAATTTAAGAAAACATTTCAGTAAACGTATACAGTCAGATCTCCAGAGGAAAAACAATAATTAACATCAAATGTTTCTGAAGTCTCTGTCTCAGCTCACCAGCGTCTCCCTTTTGTCCCATTGGCCCGTCCATGCCGTTGGGCCCATGGCTGCCCGGTATCCCCGGGATCCCATTGGGGCAGGACTGTGAGATGACCAGAGAGATGTGGAGCAGGAGCAGAAACACTGCAGTACCGCAGCTCAGCCACCGGGGGGTCTGAACACACACATACTTGTTTTTGCTACTTAGCAGGACTACCGAAAATATGGGAATGTGTAATGAAAATCTTTTTTCAGTGGTTTTGAAATTAGATTTGGGTATCTGAAGTACTTACAAACCCACACGTTGTGAAATAAGAGACCAAGAAGTTTTTTGGGGTCAAAAACTGGTATTTAACAATTACATATTTTTGTGGTGGTGCAATTACATTTGGGTATCTGAAGTGCCTACAAGATATCATACATGTCATTTTAAAATAAATAAATTGCTAAAGAAAATAGATTTCTTCCTATGGTACAAATTAGATTAATACAATTAAAGACATAGACAACGATTCTAAATCTGCTTCTACAACAAAACAAATAGTACTTAGTTCAAAATACCATGACGTAAAACTAATGCTGCTGTCTGAATAAGTGATGTTCTCGCTCTATGTCTACATGCAAATGTTTTTATTTTATTTTATAGAACGCAAAAGTCTCACCATTTGTAGATAAAGTCCCTCGTCTTGTGGTGGAGTGATACGCTGACGGAGAGCGGAGATGTTTCAGCTTCAGTCCGGAGAAATAAACAGGAAGTGAAACAGTTCAATGGCGCATGCTCTGTTGGAATTTATATTTTGTTAGGATGTTATACTTCTAGTAATAAAATGACAGAAAGTTCATATGTATGTAAGTTTCAGGTATTTGTGTATTTCAGACTCCACAGTTTTTTAGGTAATATACTTTTCACTGACACAAATGTTTCTGAAGTGTGTGATACTTTGAAGATTAGGATGTTTCACACAAGAAATATGTTGTAAAATATGCATTAAAAACATAAAGAAAATATAAAATTGTTCAGTTTTGCTCAACTTTGACCATCTAAATAGGTTAAATGCTTATTGGTGCATCTGGGGCAATAAACAAATGGTACGATATAGCAGAGTGTAAATATAGGCTACCTAATGGCAAGTTAAAGGGTTACATTATTATTATTCCACTAGTAGTGTTCATGCTTTAAGATATATGTGTATATTGTAGCTGGTTAAGGTGGAGTTCATATCACACTATCAATTATAGTTTACCTTTTCTAATGCATTAAATTCAACTTAAGAGTAACATCATTGAGGAAGATTCAATATGTAATTGATTTTCCAACTAAGGAATGCAGTGACATGTATATATATATATATATTCACTATTTAGCACTGAAATCTAGATTAGAAATAAGAGGCTTCATACAAATGTAGAAACGTGTACTTGTTCAAATGTATTGTTATTTTGCTGTATTTTTGTTTAATCTTCACTTTCTGTTCCTGTTAACCTGTAATTACACATATTTAATTTATCTGACAAAGCAAATCATCCATCAGAGGAAGTGAAACACTTAAACAAGAAGTCAGGAAAATCTCCCATGATGAAGAAGTGATGATGCAGCATTGTTGAATCTTTCTGATTAAAAAAACATGTTCTCAGATTAACATTTTGTTCTGATTTTTAATCTGAACTTCCTGTTTCTATCTCTGTTTTCCTGGCAGTGTCTTTTAAGGCTCTTTACCCAGATCTACATGTCAGTATCTGTTCCACAAAATATTAAATGTTGTCAACGTGCCCATTAACAAAGAGCTGATCTACAGTAAATGTATTATAGTGACATCCTGTCAAATATACCAATTCTTCATTCTCAGATCCTCTTTAATTTTCTTGCATTTTGTAAATGTTATGTTTTCTTTTTGCGCAAGTTTCAATTGACAATCTGATACAATGTTTTTAACCACATCGGGACTATAGATTAAAGAAAAGGAAGCGGGTAAATGTCAAATATGTTCTTTTATTTCAGATAGGATAGACATTAGACTTTAAAATGTATCACGTTTCAGCCTTGGAGTTTAAATGTGTTAATAATGAGGGAAAGGGCTGTCTGTATGTCCGTCCTGCAGGTCAGTGGGAGTGCAGCAGGAAGCCGGAGAAGATGCTGTATCCTTGCTGTTTTCCTGTCATCCCTCTGTAGTCTTTAGTCTCCAGCCAAACCTCCTGATCCCTCGACAGGTAGACCGCCACGCTGCCCGCTGTCACCTGGAGGGCAAATCAGGAAGTACTTTAATGTATTTGGACAGAGGTGGGAAGTAGTGGAGTACAAATACTACTTTTTCTGGAATCAGTACTTTACTCCACTACTTATCTTTCTGATGACTTTTTACTTTCTACTTCTTACATGTTGAACCCAAATACCTGTACTTTCTACTTCTTACATGTTGAACACAAATACCTGTACTTTCTACTTCTTACATGTTGAACACAAATACCTGTACTTTCTACTTCTTACATGTTGAACACAAATACCTGTACTTTCTACTTCTTACATGTTGAACACAAATACCTGTACTTTCTACTTCTTACATGTTGAACACAAATACGTGTACTTTCTACTTCTTACATGTTAAACACAAATACCTGTACTTTCTACTTCTCTCATTTCCCAAACAGGCTGGTTCCTTTAGTCTGAATGTGTGTTTGGTGGCGTGATCATTATTATTTAGAGTCATTACGTGCCTATTGATTTGAACACGATCCGTGTATCCATCATTTCCTGGTCTTCTCTAAAGAAGAGGGACCAATGAAAACGTTGTCATGTTGCCGTTGTTCAGCATGGAAACATTCATTAGCTAACAATGACATTATTGTTCTATTAATATAAAGGGAGGTCAGGTACTCTTTAAAACAGCTGCTAGTTATGGGTACTTTTTACTGAA